CAGTCAGCCTGAGCATGCTGTCGCTTCCCCTCTGCTGTGTGCAGGACTTTGAGGTGTGCATGGCTCCGTGCAGTTGCAGCAACTCACAAGGACAGACTGTGCCCCTGAGCTGATTTAACCCACACTCAAAGCGTAAGGCACCACCAAGGCTGAGGTCACCTGCGTTTCAAGTCAGCACGTCCTTCCTGGCCTGGAAGTGCTTCGTAATGGACAGGGGCTGTGCAGCATTGAAACCTGTGGCTTTGGGGTTTGAATTTTTGTTGGAGTCCTGGCCCTTCCACTTACTGGCTCTGGGACTGTGGGCGAGTTGGCTAACTCGTGTGTCAGTTGCTGCCAATGTAGGACGAGGATGACAACATGGGCTGTATCATTAGGTTGTCGCGAGGATTAAGTGAGTAAAGTGCATAAATCGATGGCTGATCCAGGGTGAGAACGAGCTATGAGGACTCCCCTTCCTTTCTGTGCAGAGAGTAAGTTGTTTCTCTCTTCCCACACTGGGTCTTTGCAGGAGCAAGTCTTTTCTTGCTTGGACCCTAGGTCTCCTCTCCCTTCCCTGACTGTGGTCACAAATGATGTCCGCACAATCACTCGTCTCATTCTCCTCCAGCTTTTCGGTTCTCCTCCCAGCCTGTTGCTCCGGCTCCTGGCAATTCTCTTCCCAAATGTCGATCGTGTCCCTTTTCCTTCTTAAACACTTCTTGTGGACATCCCTTTCAGGTTTCAGCAGACGTGCTTGTTGCTCACCCTGGCGAGTGTCACTGTCCTCTAACTAGATTCAAAGCGCTTAGGATGTTTTAGACCTGTTGAGCAATGCCAGGCTGGGGAGGGGGTGGACGAGGTGAGTTAAGAATGATAATTCCAAAAAACTTAGTCACCCAGATAAAAAATATTTACTAAGAAGATTTTTTTTAAAAGACATTTGTGAGAGAATTGGGAAATATGAACCCTTACTGGATATTTGATATTAAAAGATTATTGTTAGCTTAGGTGTAGTTAAGAAGGAAGTTTCATCTTTTAGAGAGACATACTAAAGCATTTATGGATAAAATTCTATGATGTCTGGAATTTACTTAAAAATAATCTAGTAAATGAGGTGGGGAATGTAGAGGAAGCAAAATTGGCCATGTCATGATAATTTTTGAAAGCAAGTGATGGATACATGGGCCTCCATTATAAAAATGTCTATAATAAAAACTTTGAAAATTTTTCTTATTTTTTAAATAATATTTCGAAGGCACTTCAGGGACTGTTTCTCCATCTCCCTGTATTATCGGGAGGTGGAGGTGAACTTTAGGGAAGTTGGTTTTCTCCTCTGTCCACGTTCATTACCATTGCTCTTGATGGATCTGGGTTTGTGGGTGCCAGGAGGCCCCCCCGCACAGCTGTGCGAGAAGCGAGGGGCCTGTAGGTCCACGTGTCTGCCTTACTGTCTCTCTGTCTGGCACCGGACCTCTCCTTTAGCCAGAACCTCATCAATCTCTGTCAAGATTTACAGTCATTCAGTTCGTCCTTCCTAATTATCAGGTAATTATGATCACAGCCACTTGTCCACAAAAAGTAACACCTTGCAGGGTGGGGAAGGAGCAATTGGCAGGGAGGGGCAAGGAGAATGAGAGAACTAAGGGAAGAAGAAAATACCCTTCCTGCTAGACACCACCCTTGTGAGTAATCGGGAGAGGGTGTGGAGAAACGAAATGAAGTACACAGGGCCTGGGTCCCTTCCTTCTTGGGGCTGCCCCGGAATGAGACAAGTTCTTCCTTTTCCATGTTCACTGTGTTCTACCTCCCTGCCCCACACCACTGAGAGTGGACGTTGCAGGCAAAGCAGATCGGACTTGGGGTACTTATATTTCAGGGGTAGCCTGTTTCTGAACATCATTTGCCTTTCTTTTTCCGCCTGTTTCTGCACCACCCTGTAGAGGTGGAACATAACCCACTCTTTGTGTTCTGCTCGTGGCGGGGGTGGCTGTGGGGCAGCTTCCAGGAGGGCAGAGCGTGCAGGTGTCAGATCCACGGGGCGCGAAGGTGGCGAGGAGCCTGTGGCCACAGTGGCAGACAATACCCACCTGTCTCTTCCACTATAGTGGGGCATATGTCTGTTTTCCCCTTTCCCACTGAGTGCCTTGCACAGTGATCAGTACATGGTGGAGCTCAGTAAATACATGTTGAATGAATGACTACACAAAATACAGTTAAGCTTGGAGAGCCACATTTCATGAAAAGGTCAGGAAGGTAGATTTAAGCTCTATCTGGTGTTATTTTACTCTCACATACCACACACACAATATTCTGACATGTACATACTATGCGTTCATATATACGTATGCATGTGTGATGATTGCATATATACATATACGTATGTATGATTTTGTCCTAGTTGCTATATGAATAAAATAATTTTGGTATGACAACTAGCTCATCTAATTGGAAAGATGATTTTGCATTTCTAAGGCAGGCAGGTGTTTGGATTCTCTGTCTCATTGAGGAGAATGCTCATTTGCCTTCCGTGGTGAGCGATGGCTCATTTTGCATCCTGCCGTGCTGCTCTCTGCCTTGTGACTTGATCTTGAAGAGGCAGGATGGAGGAGAAGGGAAGGTGTTCTTTGTCGCCTGGGTTGAGCCCAGTACCCCACAGTGGTCTGTAAGTGTCTGTGGATATCTGGTGAAGAAACGGAGAGTTGTTTTTTTCTGCTCTAAGGAAAGAGGCAGGATTCAGCTGTTGCTTTGTAGCTTTTACTCTCCCTGTTCCCAGCCCTTCCTCTTGTTCCTGATCTCTTGTTGCCCATTCTCTGTCCCTGTTTGGCACTGGAGGAGGCCGAGAGCTTTCCCTGAGCTTGTGTGTGACCTCGGCGAGCCTTCCCTCAACTGACTCTGGACCCTTGCCTGTGGGCCCATAGTTCTCTTCTGGTCCAAACAGAACCTCTCACCATCAAGTGAGCAACCCTGTTGGGAAAATAAAAACTAAAGAAAAAAAAAAATCCCATGCACAAACAGCATACAACAAAACAAAAGGAATAGTGTCATAGAAACTTATAAGCAGTAAAATAATTCGGATTAAATTTATTGTTTGCAGAGAGACTGTTCAGACTATAGCTGTGTCTAGCAATGTTGAACTTCAACGTCTTACCCAACATTGACTTGGGAAATTGAGAACTGTCTGTTTTGAGGAAATATGGGAACTCCTTTCTCTTTTCCAATTTCCCAATTTATTTTCCCACTCATGCTGCGGGAGGGTTGCAAATATTTGGATCTATAATTCACATGGAGGTTGTGAAGGCACAGAAGCCTTTCCCCTGAGAAGTAAGGACAGATGTATTGGGAGTAGGCTGTTGTACTTCGGTCAGCTCCTGATTATCCCGAATATATGAGTAGATCACCTGCTTTGTGGATCATCTATCACCTGGGAGCTCCCATCCTTCCTGGGGCTGAACTGAGAGTGTGGAATAGGCCCATAATGGAGCACATGATGAGGGAAGGGACAGAGAGAGAAAGAGAGATAAAGGCAGATCTCAGATTGCTTTTTATTTTTTGAGACAGAGTCTCACTCTGTTGCCCCAGCTAGAGTGCCGTGGCATCAGCCTAGCTCACAGCAACCTCAAACTCCTGGGCTCAAGCAATCCTCCTGCCTCAGCCTCCCGAGTAGCTGGGACTACAGGCATGCGCCACCATGCCCGGCTAATTTTTTCTATATATTTTTAGTTAGCCAATTAATTTCTTTCTATTTTTAGTAGAGACTGGGGGTCTCGCTCTTGCTCAGGCTGGTTTGGAACTCCTGACCTCAAGTGATCTGCCTGCCTTGGCCTCCCAGAGTGCTAGGATTACAGGTGTGAGGCACCGTGCCCAGGCTCAGATTGCATTTTAAGGTCAGCTAGAATTCACTGGAGAAGTGGCACCTAGAGTCATTGAGAGCATGGGTCTGGACCCAGACAACCTGGATTCAAATCCTTGCCCTGCTATTTCCTGGCTGTATGATGTTGGGCAAGTAACTTTGACCCCTCTCAGCCTCCGTTTCCTCATCTGTAAAATAGGGCTAATAATTTTTACCTCTTAGGGTTGCTATAAAAGTAAACTAATCTATATATCTATGTATTTGATGATTAGAGGTAAAGATCTGACCCACAGTAAAAAAAAAAAAACCTGAACGTATTAGCTGTTAGTAATAGCTTTTACTGGATTACCAACTGTTTTTGTATCATCCAGGACCTCCTTCCTTACAGGTGGCTAATTCAGAGCTGGTTATGACAGGCAAGATTTCTTACATAACTTTTTGGAATTGGTAGAGCCATCTTGAAAAATCATAAGAGAATGAAAAAAAAATCCCTTCTAACAAGAGACCACAGAGCCTAAAAAAGCATCCAGCAGCTTAGAAGTGAATGTTTGTTCTCTGTAGAAAACTCTGCAGTTTGGGTAACTTCTCTGCTCCATGAGAGAATGGGGTGATTACAACTGTATCTGAAATGGGGTCAAAGGTAGAGCAAACTCAACACTGCTAAATTATGATTAAAGTCTTTTTTTTTTTTTTTTTTGAGACAGAGTCTCACTCTGTTGCCCTGGCTAGAGTGAGTGCCATGGTGTCAGCCTAGCTCACAGCAACCTCAAACTCCTGGGCTCAAGCAATCCTCCTGCCTCAGCCTCCTGAGTAGCTGGGACCACAGGCATGCGCCACCATGCCTGGCTAATTTTTTCTATATATATTAGTTGGCCAATTAATTTCTTTCTATTTATAGTAGAGACGGGGTCTTGCTCTTGCTCAGGCTGGTTTTGAACTCCTGACCTCGAGCAATCCACCCGCCTCCACCTCCCAGAGTGCTAGGATTACAGGCGTGAGCCACCGCGCCCGGGCCCCCTTCATCAATTCTTTTAGAATCTGCCACAACAGGTAGGGAAAAGTTAGTAGCTTTATCTAGTGTAGTAAGGTCAAGGGCAAAACATACAAAATGTTTCCCTAACCCTTTTTCAGTCCTCTGTGCCTGAGGACTGTGCTAAGAGGTTCACCACCCTCCCCCTCTCTACTTTTCTGCAGGACGGAAATGGCTACAACGGCCCCCAGTGGTTGCCGCCAAAACCTGAACCCCAGGTACCACAGACTCTGTGATACCGGTGAGGCTTGGGGCATCGTCCTAGAAGCGTTTGCTGCAGTTGGGGCTGTGACCACGGTGGTCCTCATGCTGGCTCTCCTGGCCCTCGTCTGCAAGGTGCAGGACTCCAGCAGGCGGAAAATGCTCCCGACCCAGTTCCTCTTCCTCCTGGGTGTGCTGGGGGTCTTTGGCCTCACCTTCGCCTTCATCATCAGACTGGAAGGGGGCACGGGGCCCACGCGCTTCTTCCTCTTCGGGGTCCTCTTCTCCATCTGCTTCTCTTGCCTCCTGGCTCATGCCGTCAACCTGACGAAGCTAGTCCGCGGGACGAAGCCCCTCTCCATGCTGGTGACTCTGGGCCTGGCGGTGGGCTTCAGCCTGGTACAGGACGTCATCGCCGTCGAATATGTCGTCCTGACCATGAACAGGACCAACGTCGATGTCTTTGCTGAGCTTTCTGCTCCTCGCCGCAATGAAGACTTTGTCCTGCTGCTCATCTATGTCCTCCTCTTGATGGTGCTGACCTTCTTCATGTCCTCCTTCGCCTTCTGTGGCTCCTTCACTGGCTGGAAGAACCATGGGGCCCACATCTGCCTCACCACGCTCCTCTCTGCGGCCATCTGGGTGGCCTGGATCGCCCTGCTCTTGATTCCTGCCATCGAGGAAAGATGGGATGACACCATCCTCAGCTCCGCCTTGGTGGCCAATGGCTGGGTTTTCCTGTTGGCTTATATGGTACCCGAGTTCCGGCTGCTCACAAAGCAACGAAACCCCATGGATTACCCTGTCGAGGATGCCTTTTGTAAACCGCAACTCATGAAGAAGAGCTATGGTGTAGAGAACAGAGCCTACTCTCAGGAGGAAATCACCCAAGGTATGCAGCCTGGTTGGGAGAAGAACCCCATGTAGAAAGATGAGGGGGAATCACAGGATATTACAACTATTGGGAACATGAAACATTTTCCAGATTGTACCCTGATGGAATAGATAAATTCCCCAAGACTCAGGTCTTGCTTAAAATCATCCAGCCAGTTAGAGACGAGTAGAACCAGAAGCTGGCCTCTGGAATCTTAATTTAGTACTTTCTACTCATGGGACAGACAGGGGAGCCCCCTCCCCACCTCTCCTTGTCTGTGGTGTTATTTCCAGTAGGGTGGAACGCCAGGGAGGTTCCTCTCAATCAAAACAAGATGGAGCAAAGAAATGGAAAAAGGGTGACTAGAAAAATTCTAGCGTTATCTAGTGATAAGTAGGTGAGATTGTGTTCTTTGCAAAAGGTAGCTGGGCATTCCTTCCAGAAATGGGGAACCTTTCTAGATTTGGGTGCCTAAAGCCAAGCCATGATTTCCTGCAGTGTTGAGAGGGCAGAGAAGGGAGAAAGCTGTTTTTATCATGAGCAGCAGGAATCTCCATAAAGTTCCGGAGGATTCTGGTTTAGCCCGGAGAGCCACATTTTATTGCCTGTCTCTGGGCCCATGGGAGGGAAGAGATCATAACTGACACAAAAGAGGCAAAGGATTTCCCTCTTGCCTGGAGCTATGAAGCCAGGTGTTCTGGTGTTGTTCTCATAAAAAAAAAAAAAAAAAAAAAGGCTAAACTGAGAGCCAGAAACTGCCCTTGCGCAAAAGAATCTGTTCCTTTGTCTGTCTCCAGGGTTTATATTGGTCTCTGAGTCTAATCACAGGAGGTGGATGGTTCTGGGCCAGGAGTGAGGGTCACCCAGGCCTGGTTCTAGGCTCCAGCTGACCGGAAGCCTGTTCTCTGCTCTCAGAGCCTGATGGGTTAACACCGCCTGCTGCTTCTCACGCAGCTGGGGCCCTCTCCTGGGCACTGGGAGGAATGAAGGGAGGGTAGGAGGGCAGCAGGGGGATATTTAAGAGCCCAGTCCGTCTTGTCCATTCCCATGGCTTCACTCTGTCACCTCATCTCACTCCCGCGCTCCCTGGTGTCATTCCCTGACCACTCTTCCTTCCCTCTGTTCATTCTGTGGACCACCTTCAGCTTCCTCTCCCTGACATGCTTCTCTGGCCACCCCACTTTGCTGCCCGAGTTCCCCACTGGCTCCTGTCAGATCCTTCCAGAGTCAGAACCAATAACCTCTCCGTCTGAACAAACCAAGTCACTGCGCTTTCTTGGGTCTTTCCAGGTTCAGGGTGCTTCTGTGCTCTGCCTCCATCTTCCCTCTTCCCCCAGTGATCGCTGGTCCTGTGCATCTGTGGGACTTTGAAATGCTCTTAGCAGAGTCTGCCTCATTCGGTCGTTATGTATGTAAATGTCGCATCGTCCTTCCTCTCCAGCGTCAGCCACGAATGAGGCAAGGATCATTCTGGTTAATCCTTATATACTCCACAACATCTTACATACATTAATAGAAGTTTAAGTGTTTGTTGAGCAAACTGGGCAGGTAAATTTGGTGGGAAATAAGTGAATTGCTTTAAATTGCATTCATGATGATTGCATGTGTTTACCTTTCTGTTCCCAAGTTTAAAACCTTCTGATTTTCCCAAAATGCGCATAAAACAGTTGCCCCTAAATTCTGCTCCTTCCCAAAGAAAGTGATATGAATATATATGTTTTCCTTGTCAGGCAGTTAAGAAAGTAGGTAAATCTCCAGTGAGGTTCACTCTGAGCACACCTCTGACCGGATCTATATCGGAAAGACTGTTTTGTTTTTTTTTTATTACTTTTCAAATGTGATTTTGAAGGTACTAGGATAAGGTGGGGCTTTGGTGAAGTTTTGGGAAGGGGTTTCCCTGGTGATCATAGTTATTCATTTATTCAACCTACATTATGCTTACTTTGTCCTGGGCTTGAGGACATAGTCCCTCCCTGCAAGAAACTTAAAGTCGACTGGAGAGAGGTAATTAAACACACAAGATATCACACTGAGAGAAGAGGTACAACGGAGCGAGTGCAGGTGGGCGCCCCTAATTCTTTAATTTCTCCTCTCCCTGTTTCAGGCCTTGAAGAGATGGGGGACACGCTCTACGCCCCCTATTCCACCCACTTTCAGCTACAGGTAAATGGTCTCTTTCTCCTTCTCATCAGTGGCATCCGCCCCCGGGAATGTTTCTCCTTTGGGAACAGATGATGTCACCAATGTGATGGCCTCTAATTGGCCACCTTGAGAGGATGCGGGTGTTTTCCCCTGTAATCTGCCCCCTGGGGCTGGGGGGCCAGAACAGGTGCACAGGGAGGAGTCAGGGGAGGGCTTGGGAGAGGGGAAGGGAATCAGCCTCCTGCCCGGACAGCAGATCTGCTGAAATGGCCGGGAACTGGGGGGCTTTAATGCTGTGGACGTTTCCTTTGCAGAATCGGGCTCCCCAGGATTTCTCCATCCCACGGGCCCAGGCGCCGGCCAGCCCTTACAACAACTACGAAGGAAGGAAAGAGGGCAGTTAGCTGTGCGCCAAAGAGTGGGACGAACACAGCCAGGCGGAAGACCCAGCCGGGAGCTCAAAGGGATGTGGGCCAGATCTCGAGTCTTCTAAGAAAACTGTGCAAAGCGCTATGGGAACAGCTGCCCCTCCCAGCCTGAGCCACCGTCTTCCCACTCTGGGCAGATGCGGGCTGACACCGCTCGGGTTCTCGGCAGCATCCCAGTATTTCTCCTTCGTCTCATGCTTAAGACACATCTGTTACATGGGCGTCTCAGGCAGCTCAGGGCTAGACTCGCTATTCCTGTCATTTTACTTGGGACGGAAGGTCTGGTCATCTGACCACACAGCGGCTCGCTCAGTGTTAGGGGCCAGCTCCTCTGACCCAAAGGTGGGCTTTGCCAGGGGCGTTTGTCCCAGAGCGGAACAGCAGGTCTCAGCAAAACCAGCAGGCTCTCAGCCCAGCCCGCCTAAATCTACACTGGAAACCACCTTCCTGGCACCGTCCCTCCCTTTGCCTTCTTGCCTGCATAGGAGAGGTTAAAGGTCACCCTAAACCTACTCATCTCTGTGGCCCTGAATAGTCATTGTGAGGGCCCTGCGGCTCCCCAGCACACCTCACAGGCCACCCCTGTCTTCTCGCACCAGCTCCAAACTCCATCTTCTCCATGCACTTTACCAGGAGTTCTTCCAGACCTCACTAGCGGGGACGGGCCCACCTGCTCCTGGCCAGGAGAACTTGGGCGCTGTCCTTGCTCTAAATCCCTGCCCTCCTCCCGTCTCCTTGCTCCTCAGCCTCTGTACATAGATTCACACTGTATTTATCTCCTGCATCGTCTACTAACGGAGGAGTGTTCCTGGTGTAATCAGTCGCTCCCTGGGATTTGCAATAAAGATGTGGTGGCAACTCTGTCGTGGTGGTAGTGGCGGCAGTACCGGTGGTGGGTGTTAGGCACCAAGGGAGAGACCACAGCCTGCCCTGGGGCTTCGTGTTGGAGCTGAAGCTCAAGGTTCAGTTCCCCTGGTTTGCATTTGGCCCTTCTCCATGTGTCTCTCCTTCTTCTTGTGACATCTAAGACAAGTGTGTGTCCCCTGACAATATTCAAAGCTGTCAACGCTCAGAGAGCCAGGGTTGTCGTGGGTCCCGAGGTTTTGCTCCAGGCAGGCAGAGGAGTGGCAGCCTTGGAATGGGGTTTGGCAGCCCAAGAAAGACAGGGAAGAGACCTCAGAGCTGGTTTCATGTTTCGCCCAAGCTTTAATTATAGGAGAGGACAAATCCAAATCCCTTTGTATTTAACAGAATTAGTTCACAGTATCTCTTGGCAAAGACATGATACCAAACAATTATTATTAATATTTACTTAATCCAAGAAACAGCTCTGTGGGGCAGAGCAATAGGAAATCTCTCCTTGGTGGTGGAAAAAAAGAAAAAAAGAATTGCTATGCATAGAAACTGAACGGGATGTAAAAATTTATAGCTGAGCTTGGAGTTCCTTCCTGAGAGCTGGATACTGTGCTTTTCATCAAAAGGAAGAAGCTGTGTAGGGCAGAGGTGAGGCGAGGCAGGGGTGAAAGAGGACACGCCGAGTTAGAGATGTTTACGTCCCTCAAGGTTTGCTTGACAGGGTTTGCACTCACAGTAGGCTAGTTTTGTCCTGAAAAGGGAAAATGGTAAATAACGATACGGATCCCTCTAGACTATTCCAGTCTTTCCCAAGAGGCATGGCCCAATGAGGTTTGCTGTGAGGAGAAGACAACATGGTTTCACATATGTTCTGTCATAGCGCAGGTGCTCAAGAAATCCACACTCCCTTCCCTCTTGTCCCTCTCTGGGCTTCGTCATGTTAACCAAGCAAAGGCAGAGGAGTGAAAAGTAAAACCACAAAACACTCTGGATCTGTTTTTTTTTTTTTTTTTTTTTTGAGACAGAGTCTCGCTTTGTTGCCTAGGCTAGAGTGGCGTGGCATCAGCCTAGCTCACAGGAACCTCAAACTCCTGACCTTGAGCAATCCTCCTGCCTCAGCCTCCCAGAGTGCTCAGCCTAGATCTGGTTTCTTTTTAGGAAAGAGGATCTGCCAGGCCTTTGTAGCTGCACGGCTGCCTTGCTTACATCAGACTCTTCAAACACCGTAGAGGAACTGGAAGTGCCATCTGCCTCTGGAAACCTGTTCCTCTTCTAAGCAGTAAAGTGGTCTCAGGCGGCCTGGTGCGGTGGCTCACGCCTGTAATCCTAGCACTCTGGGTGGCCGAGGCGGGCGGATTGCTCGAGGTCAGGAGTTCGAAACCCAGCTGAGCGAGACCCATCTCTACCAAAAAATAGAAAGAAATTAATTGACCAACTAATATAACATAAAAAAATTAGCCGGACATGGTGGCGCATGCCTGTAGTCCCAGCTACTCGGAGGCTGAGGCAGGAGGATTGCTTGAGCCCAGGAGATTGAGGTTGCTGTGAGCTAGGCTGACGCCATGGCACTCACTTAGCCTAGGCAACAAAGCGAGACTTTGTCTAAAAAAAAAAAAAATTTTGGTCTCAGGAGTTTGGACAGTAGGCTCCTTCTTGCCAGGCGGCAGAAGAAGGCTCCCCGCTGAGCAGCACTGTGGCACCGGTGCCTGCTAACTCACACCTCCCGCACACACATGAGGTCTACGTTTCAGTGTGGCCGGAGGTCTGGCCTCTGAGAGCCACTGTCTTGGAGAAGAGGGCTTCCATGGCGAAGGCCTCCCTGGAAGGGCCTCCACCTCCACCTGGGCCGAAACAGAACGTGCGGATGTGCCCAGCCGGTTGATGGATGGTGGGGACCAGAGTGGCATCGCCTTTGAGCTAAATGGGTGACCAGGAAATGAAACTCAGCGGCCTCCTCCTCATCTTTCACTGTCAGCGCAAAACGGAGGGCGGCGTCTCTCTCCGCCTCCCCCCAACGCCGAGATGTCCCCGGCCGCCATACCCCGCGGCTCCACTTGGTGGCGGTGACGCCTCGGGCATCAGCGCGCAGCGAGCGGCGCCGCTTTCCTGTGGGGGGCGCGGTCCGAGCCGCAGGCGTTGAGTAGGTTTGAGGTTCGGAGGCTTGTATCTATGAGCTGCCTGCTTCCTCCCTCCACCGTCTTGGAAGAATTTGCCCTCGGTCTCCTTTGGCAGAGCTGCTCTGCTCTTTGTCTTATTTCTGCGAAACCTCTCCAAGGTATTTCCAGCCCATTTGCATGCTATCTGGCCTCTTTACAGATAATGGGCTCATAGGCTGTTGTTATTAGTGCCAACTGGTATTTATGTGGTGAGAACATTGGCTTTTTGTCAGGAAAAGTGTGCCAGAACACAAAGTACAGCCTGGCCCTGGAAATGCAGCATAAACCCATTCTTTCCCCGTGCATGCGGAGTTTCCTTCCTCCAGTTCTCCACTTATCGGTGCTGCTGAGAACTGGACTGTGCCCAGATGGTCTTTTCCTTCCTTGCCTACTTTCTGCTGGGCAAGGTCTGCAGGTTTGCTGCTGTCCCGCCCCAGTCCGAAACATGGCATGATTTCAGAAGGGGAGGTAGCCGCTTTAGAAAAATCTTTCTCAAGTGTTGGCTGCTGAGATCTGGGATCTGAGAAATTAGCCTCCAGTGTGTATGTAGAGTGTTCTCTTTGGAAAGGACCAACCTTGGGGTCATTTTCTGGAATTCCTCTTCCTCCTCCTTCTTCCTCCTCTCCCTTCTCCCCCTTCTCCCTCTTCTTCTCCCTCTTCTCCTCTTCTTCCTCTTCCTCTCCCTCCTCCCCTTCCTCCTCCCCCTTCTTCTCCTTCTCCTACATCATGGGGTCTTGCTCTATTGCCCAGGTTGGAGGACAGTGGCACAATCACTGCAGCCTCTAAACTCTTGGACTCAAGCAATCCTCCTGCCTCAGCCTCCCGAGTACCAGGACTACTGCCCAGCCTGGACTTTCTTCTATCCAGGGCAGACAGTGCTTTGCCCTTCTTGGCTTCAGGATGTTCCAAGGAGGCAGATGGGTCTGTGCATTGATGCCTGACCATGACCTCCACACCCTGTGGATTACTACCACTATCTTGACCCTTCAGAGTGCAACACTCCAGTGCTTCAGATTTCAGGGTTTAAGGAGGTCACAGAGATCCTCTAGCTGGTTCTCCGCAGCCCTCATTCTACAGAAGAGGAAACTCAGGCCGGGTGGAGTTAATACGCTCAGGACCAGGTTTCTGCTTCTGTGCTCTTTCTACTGCCAGCACCTGTGTGGTCAGTTCTAGACGCTTTCTCAAGAGAGTGAGTAAAGAATCAGATAAAATGACCACAGTCACCATGGATTTTAAACATTGCTCCCACTTTCCTCTATCTCCCCGATTGCCTTTTCCCCTTATTTCTCCTCTGGTCATCTTCTCTGCCTTGTGCTTATAAGCCTTGGGGAAAGGGTCTGGGTAAGGACCGACAGTTTCTGGTCAACCACAGCCCCTGCCCCACAGCCCCCAAGCCAAGGGAGGGATGGCAGAGCAAGGTGAAGTGTTCCGTCTCCATTCTCCCAGCCAGCATGATAAGCCCTCAGCTTCCCTGAGGCTCATATCGGGTCCAAACCCCACACCCAGTGCCTCTTATTTCCCTTTGTATGAACTTTTGGCTCCCTTTGGCAGCTTTGGGGGCAGCCACAGAGACAGTCCTTGGAAAAGCCTTGCTAGTGACTTGCATTTGTAATGACTTAGCCTGGGGTGACTGCCCTGCGCCCCGCCTCTCAAGCACCAGGTTCTAACCACTATCTTCCACAGAAAAGAAAATGAAACCGTAATGGAATTTGATTAGCACATGTGCCACACCCAACTGCCTGGTCCCAGTTCCTTCTAGCTCAGGTCCCCTTCCATATTATGATCTGCCAATCCCACTGTATTTGTATCAACTCAATTCAACAGACTCCTCTGACAAGCCCCGTAGCTATGCAGTGAGCTCTGGGACACAACAGTAGGGGCTAGTGATATATCCTATGATCATGTAAAGCTACTACCTTTCTCTAAGAAGGAATACTGCCAGATTGACTAATGTTTTTCATTGAAAAGAATTGAAATAGAAAAGGCATGTATTGATTTTAGCAAGACATCTTTATGAACAAGATGGAAAAAGGCAGGGATAATGATAATAGAGTTAGGTAGAGCCATAAGTCAAGCATTCAAGAAAAGATCCTTTAGTAGGTGGAAGTCTCTATTGATGGGCCTGCCATAGGGCTGTATCTTTGGATCTGTTTGCATAACATTTTTATCAATCATTTGGTTACAACTAAGGCATGTTTTTCAAATATTGCACATGACACAGAATTAGGAAAGACTGAATAAAACTAGAATACAAAATGTGTTGCAATAATCTGGGATAAAGATCCCAGACTAAGAATTTAGTTTAGTAGATACAAATGTATTTATGACCCCAAGATAAATCACACAAATACAGGTTGGAAAGACTTGTTTTGAGAGCAGTTTTTATGAAGAAGACCTGGTAGTTTTAGATGCCTACAAGACTGATAAGTACCAGTGAAGAGGTTCGGCAGCCAGAAAGTCAAAGCAATCGTAGGCTGCACTGACACCATTGTGAAGTCCTAGACAAGGCATGCACTGTTCCCACTGAATTGGGGGCACATTATACCACGTCAGAATATTGCATCCATTTCTGTGTGTATCACTGTGAAGGAGGAGCTTCTAACAGAGGAGCTATTTTTAGAACTGCATGATACACAGAATGGCTGATGGGGCTGGAGATAGTTAATCCCGAGAGGAGGGGATGTTGCAGGGTACATCATCATCACAGCTAACATTTATTGTGCACTGACCCCGTGCAGGGTTCCATTTTAAGCTTCATTTTAAGTTTCACTCTGTTGCCCGGGCTAGAGTGCCGTGGCATCAGCCTAGCTCACAGCAACCTCAAACTCCTGGGCTCAGGCAACCCTCC